GCAGCCTTCCAGAGCACCCGCTGCAAAGGGAAACCTTCGCTCTCCGGGCTGCCGCTGCCCACATTAAGTCTCCCCCGACCCACAGGCAGACCTTACGAAAAGCCGTGCAATCTCGTTGGTCGCCTTCTACCACCATGCTGCCATTTTTTGCAAAAACCGGCACCCGCTCAACTCACGGCTGTTTTCACGGCTCTTGTCTTTTCTCCCTTCAAAACTCCTTTCTCAAACTGGGGGCTGCTCGTGATGCCTCCCAGTCCCTTTTGTAAGGCTGCAAAGGCAACACTGACCCTGTTGTTATTTTAAAATACCTTAAAGCAGTTGAACAGTTTTTCTTTTGCTGGAAAACCCCTTGACACTACCATTGAAAGGGAGCTGTAAAGGGAAGGGTCACACCGATTCTTAGCACGCAAAATGCAGCCGAAGACATCCAAAAGAGAGAGAAGGAGGAATTACAAGACTGATAGTTTGCAGAAGAGCGATCAATCTTGCAGCTGCCCTTCTAAAGGGGATCTCGTCCCTCCTCAACACACCTTTTCTGCCCCATCCCGAGCAGTGCCATTGGTACTCATCAAACCCTGATGACCTGGTTCGGTGAGCGAAAACCACTGAGAAGTAATTTGTTTTTTCTTCTGCTGCTGCTAAAGGCTGATTTTTCTACCAGTTCAACTCCTCAACTCCACCTCACTTAAACTGCTAGGTGACAGCATCGGTTCAAGGGAAGCAAGAGCAGCACGCAACCAGGGGAAGAGGGTCACTCTTTTTTTGGCAGCTAACAGTTAGCCCAAATGAGCTGCAATGTCAAACCACACCCTCAGGTCTCCGATGGCTATGGAGACTAAAGACGTGGTAGAGAGGGCAAAGGAGAGACAGGAAAAGCGTGAAATCAAAACAGACCAAGGATAAAGAGAATACGCATACTACATGCAAAGTAGGGGCTGGACTGTGAGCGTTGATCGTGGGAACAGATGGAGAGATACAGAGAGAAATGACACCCATTACACTCAAAATCATATGTGCAAGAGAGGGGGAGAGGAGAGACGGAGTGCGATGGGAGAGCGGGAATTGGCAAGACAGGAAAAAGATTTGCAGAAAATAATGTTTTTAAGAAAAACTGGAATCGGAACTTACTGCTCACAGGAAAAACCACAGTCCAGTTGCGTCAGTGTGGTTAGAAAAGAACAATCCTTTGAAACACAGCTCAAGACTTTCTCCTTTAACGTTTGACACTAGCGAAGATCACCTGCCCTTTGTACACTGCACGGTCACACAAAGAGTTAAAAGGTACCGCGTAAGAGCAGCTTTGGCCAGCCCTATAAACATTTATTGTGCTCTCTAAAAAGCATCAACTAGGGGTGTAACATTGCACAGAATAAACTAGAGCCAGATCGAATAAAATATTTTTCCAGTTCTGTAGAGATCGAGATACTTCCATGGCTCCCCATTGGCACAGGAACCAGAAAGGAATATTCATTAGATCTGACTATAAATGTTTGTCTTGTGTGGGAGGTCTTAGTATAGTAATATGTATTAGAAACTTGATATTTTTCCAATCAAGCCTTTCCACTTCTATTTACATATATTTAATTGTAAATACTCATTTTCCTACCTGAAGCACTTTAAATAAATGTACAATAAACACATTCTACAAAGAAGGGGAGCAAATAACTCGGGGGGACCTGTGTACCAGCCTCCACACGGCTGGTCAGGAGCAATGTTAAGACAATCCCTCCTGACAGCTTGTGGGGGGTCTCGTAGACCAAGCTGGTGATCTCACCCTTGTTTCTCCTGAACTGAGATCCTCCCCCCCCCCAACCCAATAAATCATAACTGACGCAAACTGGCATCTGTGCCAGTAGAAAAGGCGATGGCTGGCAAGGAGATGCCCTCTCACACATAGAAATAGATTTCTTCAGAGCCCAACTGACTTCAGTTTGCGGTTGTGTCAATATACACTTTTCTGAGCCCAAAACACACGGGCAATAGAATCGGCATACTCTGAAACTGCAGCTTTATTTAAGACAGAACTGTGTAATGCACAGAAACGCCAAGTGAGATGTCACCATTTGACCTCAACCACACAGCGCTGTTCACCATGGCCAGCAGCAGCCCCGCTGCCTTCAGGGGGACACGCTTCAGCCCCTCGCAGCAGCGAGGGAGCCTGGAGCTGCCGTAGCTCTCCCCGGGAATCCCCGGGGTACGCAGCAGCTTTCAGCGGGCACAAACCCCCACCACTTGCACACTGGGGCGAGGGGCATACCGAAGGAGCGCTTGTGCCCACTGCTGTCACCTAACGCGTGGCTGACGTAGGGCGCATGGTCAGTTCCTCTGATCTACGCAAGAGTCTCAGTTCCTGACACAAAACTTTTTTTTTTTTTGTGACAGGAAGCGCATTTTAGAAAAAGTTTTCCAGGCAGGATGCATTGATCAAAGACAACTCAAAGAAGGCTGGAAGCTATTCTTTCAAAATGAGGTTAGAAAGCCAAATTGATGAAATGGGTAACTGTGTGAGCGATCATGAAAAAAGCAAGGTCTTATCAGCTGGTCTCACAGAAGATGTAGGTGAGGAAGAAGAGGCTTTCACATACTCAAATCACTCTTCGGGCATGATCCAGAGGCAGTAGGCTTCAAGCTAGAGTACAGGTAAGTATGAAGCTTTTTAGATTAGTCATTCTAGAAGATTCCCCCCCAAGATATCCTGTACCCAATTAAGTGACATCTTGAATATTATTGCAGTCATACTGACCTACTGCTACAGTACACATTAATGATTTAATAACAGAAAATTGGTCAGTGTTGGTGAGGAAAGAATGCTGATAAACCTGGGCAGAAATGCATGTTCTTTGTACTGCTTATCACGAGAAAGTGATACTTAATCGCTACAGTTACATCAATAGCAAAATTAAAATTTTCTTTTCAAATCGTTGGATTTGGTGCCAAACTAAGAAAGGATAATGTTAACTGTTGACTTATGGGGCAATTTGGAAAAGGTTAAGAGACAACATCTTATGCTCCACAGTTACACTCAGATTAACTACGAATTCATTTTACGAATTGTTGTAGGGTGTACTTGTAAAGTGAAATTAAGATACCGTTTGCCTTAATATCGACAGATTGAAGTCAGAGGGACTACAGGAAGTAAGAAAATACTTCTGGAGAATAAAATAAATACAGTGCCTCTTCTGAAAGTCACATAGTTTTTTCTGCATAGATTAAAACTTTTATCATGATGGATCATAAACTGTAAAGTAGTTCTTGTGTCTATCAGAAAATTCTATTTTATGCGTGAATTTCATGTCTTATACATGAGGACAGATAGAACTCTTCTACTGCATTATTGGAGACTTATCAAAAACAGGATGCTTTTTTCTTGAGAAGATGAAAAGTACAGAGATAAGCAGGGAAATAAAGACTGAAGTTTTAACCAATAATATTTTTGTGTGGTTATCAGAGGAATGTAATAATTAATCTTTTAATCATTCTGAAGATTGTGTGAAATCATAATATCTCATCTTTTCCAGCCTCAACCTGCCATTCTTGATCTGAATTACAAACAATAAGAAAGGAGATGATTTAATGAGTAACTTTGTCATGTTGCCATTTTGCCTTAGTCAAAGGCAAATGTCTAGTTTTCCTCTAAACTAAAATGGAATAGACTTATGTTTCAATTATGCTCGCAACTGAGGCAAATGTGAACGGAAAAGTTACGGCTATTTTAAGGCTAGAACCCCAGTGCCTTCACATTTCCACAGAGACATAATTAAACACACACTGTTAAGAAGAAACAAACATTCGTTTACTAGAAAATAAAACCCGTGTTGTGAAGAAAGACACATGTATGAAAAGAAATCGAAAATTTGACAAATACTAAACTAAATCCAAAAAGAAAGATTTCAGTCACAATGGCAATAGGTACGTTCTTATTATGAAGGGAAAAAAAAAAGTCAGCATGATTTAATCATACTCACTAAATAGGCACTTCAATAAAGTATATATTTACACTGCTTTCTGAATGCTAGGGCATCACAAAGTAGTATGGCTTTATTACAATGGATGGAAGATGGCAACTACTTAGAACCCAGTGCCAACATGGATTATAACAAATCCAGTGAGTATTTTGTTTTTCAATTATTCATAGAAAATTTAATCCTGATTAAGTATCCTTGGGCAGGAATTCATGGGTAGTTGATGACTGAAACCAACATTTATTTGAAATGCTTCTGTTAATTTAATCTGTGTATATGGCTTAATTATGATTGAATCCTCAATGTAACAGAAATGAATTATATCAGGATTAAAATTCTAGTACCACATCACCCATTCCATTTTCTTTGCCTTTTTTTTTTTTTTTCCCCTTTAAAAGATGCAAGCCTGCTGTTTTAATTACCTTTATGTTGCTATGTCTTCTAAGCCTCAAATACTGTTTAGACCTTCATTACTGGATGAAATTTTTAGTCACATTTCAAAAAAAAAAAAAGGCAGATATAAACCCTATTTTCATTCCCATTAGAATTTTAACCAGTATGAACATTAGTTGCTAGAAAGACTTTTGTTTTACACCAATAATAAAGTTTCTCGCAGTGAGTTGTGAATATTTTACGCGTGTTTTCTAGAGGACCCTCCCTCTTTTGTTTCCCCTTCTATTACACTTATATATAAAATGCATTTTCTCTAAAGCACAAAAATAAAAAGAACTTGTACTCATCGTTACACATCACACCAATTGCACAACTGGCCTGTTTCAGACTTGTTTGAGCTTGCAGATGTTTTAAGAACTGCATTTTATAAGACCTTCAAACCTAGTATTGATATAAAGTAAGGACATTTTTTGTGGCTGTGAATGGGAGAGAAAAGATTCATTGTACTTTCTGTGATATAGCTCAGCATCACACGCTACACATAAACAGTATTTATAAAATTATTCAAATTATGGATTTTTCCACTTAACAATACTTTTAACAGATTAAAGGTCTGTGAAGTGCTCTGATATTATCATTCAGTTTTCCAGTGAAACCAATGTATCACACACCTGTGATAAAAATACCTGTATATTTAGGTCATTATTGCACATTTATTACATAATGTATTCTTCCTAAACATCTCAGAAGTGATGTCGATTTTTATGTCCAGAGGATACTGTTAGTGGCAATGTCACTGATGACAGTGAAGATACTTCCCAATATAGACTATGAGATAGAAAAAGTCTGTAGAGGATAACCATGGAGATGCACTGACAGAGGATAACACCTATGGTAATAATCTAGAGACAAAAAAGAGAGAAAAGGAAGAAGTAAGTGAAAAAAAAACAACACCAAACAACCTAAAATAAACGTCTATCAGCATACTGCATAAGCGTTCGAGGTTTAACCTTAAACCTTATAAGAATGCTGCAGCTACAAAAGATTTGAACATGAATCTCAAGACCAGGATTCAGACTCTCACACCTGGGTGTTTTTAAATCAGCAGATAGCCCTGGGCAAGTCACATAACCCTTCTGGCGGTCTCTGTTCTGGGGAATTTCAGACTTGCAATTCACCACCCATGCAGTTTTACAAGCAGAGGTGATGTTTAGATATTCTATTCTTACAACAAACAGAGCAGGGAAAAAAAAAAAAGCCTGAAAACACTTTGCACTAGCACAATCCTGGAGCTGTGAGCACAGTGGTTTATCAGTATCACTTAGCCAGACCTCTTTTCAGTGCCAGTCTCTTCATCTGTAAAGATATGTAAGGCCGTATTTACTGAACGCATAAAGGTAGCTATTGTTTCCGAGAAAGCAAAAGTCTAAGTTTATGTACAAGAAAGTCTTTTAAAATAGATGTTTTTTCTTAAACGAATATGGTATTTATTGATCATGCATTTCTTTATTATATTGAAATGCATTTAAAGAAGGAAACACAGCTAAATTAACATAATGTAGGAACAGCAGCTGCACACAATGCTTAAACTTGCCCAAATGCAAGAGTAGAGCAACTGTAATCTTCCTTCAGTAAGCTAAAAATCTCACAACATTGCAAAAATTTCCTTTACTGATCCTACTTCTAGAGCTTGTCTCCCTGCCCTGACGATGTTTTCATCAAGCAACAACAAAAAGTCTCTTCATTAGTAGCTCTAAAGAGGTCTTTTTCCTCTCCTAGATTTCCTTTTTTTTCCCCCCTTCCAAACTCAGATGTGTTTCATTTACTATATATTTTTAGTGGAACCTTTTTCTTTCCCTTACATATCCTCTACACAAGTAAAAGCTCAGTTTCTGAGAATGCACAGATGGTTATAATGAAAAAGAAGAGAAGCAAACTCTACCCTGGAATGAGGTAGTCAATCACCTGAGAATAGTAGCGCACTTTATCTGAACACGGCAGGCTCCGCACACTAGTTCTCTAGTTCCCAACGTGTTCAAGCAACCGAGAAACCCAGTGAATCCTCCTTTGTTTTTAACCATTTAGCGCTTACAAACCAAACTACATATTTGGACAGATTTCTTAAAGAACACAGTTCAGCTACAGGTTCCCTGACCTATTTAGCCACATAAAGCTTTTAAAAGATCAAGACTAAAAAGCAAACAACAACGAAAAAAAATACACTGATTTATCTTTCTACTAGCTTTGTTAAAAGAATCCCCAAGGTGTTTTTAATTAAAAAACAAACAAGCAAACAATAAAACAAAACACCCCCTCCACATTTTCCTTTGACTTAACAATCCCCCGCCCCTCGCCCTTAACCTAGGAATGATTACCCTTAGATGATTCAAACCCTGTATGCCTTTGTACAATATGACTCACATTAGCATCAATGAGAGCTGTGTGACTAAGACTTTTCAAGTTGCTTTGGGGTCATAAGATTAACAGCCTAAGAGCATGAGTTTGCTAACAAACACTGAACATGAAGAACAACTACTATTCAAATTCCATCTCTTTTATCTTGCCTGTACATACCTTTTCTCTTTGATATTCTCTGAATATTACAGAAATGGTTGCAAGACATGGGTGGCACAAAAACCAGAGAATGCAAGCCTGAAAGAGAAGATGAGTGTAAGTTATAAAATGACTACATGCCAGTTTAGAAGAAAGAGATGACAGTTACAGGAACTGCATTTACATTTCTGTCTATTTTATGAACCCATTGTTTAATTTCCAATCAACAGAACGAAAACCACACAATGAAAGGTGGGATTTCTGTTTAAGAAAAACTCTATACTCCTTGTCAAATTAAAATGACTACTCAGAGTATGATGACAGGGTGCAATTTAATCAAATCACACACTTAAAACACTAGCTTTCTTATGGAGGAAAAGAGTTTGGTTCTTCAGTCGACTGTATGCCACAATTTTATTTACAGCAGAAGGGATGAGTTTCTCTGAGGTAACCCATACTTTGGCAAAGGTGATATAGAATTCTCTTTTCAGGGTGCTTCTCTCCACTGTGATGATCTGGTAAAGACCAGCAGCCAGTGACAAAGCTAGGCAAACTCTGAGGCCAATAAGTAGTCCGCTGGCTAAGCCATGGTGCGAATGGTAGCTGTGGTGAGTCGTATCTTCAAACTGCTCCCAAATTAATAAAAAGCTCTGGAAAGGAACAACAGCAGCAAAGTACATTTAGAATAAACAAGGTTATGTTAAAACTCAATTAATCTTCCCATTGCAGATTAAGGTAGCCGCACAACTGGTCACGCACCACTCTGCTTGTTTGAGACCGCTGTGTTACACAAAAAGCCCCCAGTCCCAAATGCTTCCGGGCACTACCTATTCCTCCAAGTGGAACTAGCAGGAACAGAGTCTCACTTCTTGCATTCCGTAACTTTTAGAAAGCTCGACAAGTTAATGTTTCCTCTAATTTGGATAGAAGGAATGTGGCACCTTAGCATAAGATCCAAAACAACCATCTAGTTAAACAGTCGGCCTACTCAGCA